ATATTATTAGCAATTTATCAATTTAATTGATTTAATTACAATTTGGCAATTTGTATAATTAATGGCAACTACTTATTTTGTACCTAAAATAACAGGGCAACCAAAAATAGCTTAATAGTGCTGTTTGCCCGATAACTAGGACTTATTGTACCCTTTAACAATTTATAACAACAATCAGAATATTTTAATGTTGAATTTATAAAAAAAATATTGACATAGTTAAACGTTTGTTAAGACGTACAGTTTTATCAAAAGTCCGACCTTTATTAACTAAAACTGTACTTTACTGTAAGTCAAATTTGGTTTTTTTTACCAGTATAACAATTCTTTCTAGTTGTACACCAACCGATACAAGTAGATCTAATTTTTTTTATATTGCATACCTTTAATATTAGGTCACAATATATATATATTGTGACCTACATTTGAGTGCGGCCAATTTTTAATTTTTAGCCGCCCAGATGGGTTGATTATAGTCTAGAAATTCGTATGCGGCCAATATTTGTTGTCAGGCCACATGCGAACTATCATCAAGATAACGACGTGGCCAATTCTGAATTTTTGGCCACATTCGAATGTGGCGGATTCCGCGTTTTTGGCCACATTTGAATTTTCATATATCTCGTGCCAATCGTGAGGGCTATGCCTGAACTGGACGCAAAGCGTCCTAGCTTGCAAATGCGTACTGATGTAATTTTTTATAAAATAGATTATTTCGTGATCATGTGTTAGTAGTCTAAAAATCAATGAAAAACATATAAATAGACTCTCTATCCCCCACTTTGCATTAAAAAACCAATTCGTAAAAAAAACGTATCTCCTATACCACTATAAACAATGCATTTTCTAGGCGATGAAATGTCGAATTGGCAATCTGTATTTTGGCTTTTATGTTGCATTCGAATGCTAGAGTTGAGGCACGTAATGCCGAAATAGTATTCGTGATCTGGTTTTGGATGATGCATTGATCGAGTAGTACAATAAATTGCTACAAAAACATATAGATAGACCCTCTATCCCCCCAATTCGTATTAAAAAATACACCAATTTCGCTTTTTAAGTTCCATTCGAATTCGAGGATGAGGCACGATGTGCCGAAATAGTATTCGTGATCCGGTTTTTCGTGATGCATTCGAATATTGATCGAGGATGAGGCACGATGTGCTGAAATAGTATACCTATTTGGTGACCCGTCAAAGCATAATTTTTTATAATATATCTTTCTATAATAATTTTATCTTGGTAGCCCACCGATTTTTCTTAGAATTTTGATACTCCGAATAGTGTACTCTTGGTGACCCATCAAATCATAATTATATATTATATATTCTGTATTAATTATACCTTGATGGCCCACCGAAAGTGTGCTATGCTTTGACGCTCTGGAACACTTCCTCGCATAGTTGGTACTACCACTTCATGTCAAAAAAATAGTCTATGCTTTGGAGTACCACCTTTACGTATTACTGGATCGAAAATTTTGATTACTTTTACGTATCAAAAAATTGGATTGAAAAATTTTAATTGTATACTTTTCTATATTACTATTAATGTATCAAAAAAATTGATCATACTTTGAAAATTTTATTGCACTTTTGCATATCAATTTTACGCATTAGTATCAAAAAATTGGATCAAAAAAATCAAATCGCACTTTGACGTATTACATATAAAAAATTGGATCATGATTTTACGTATAAAAATTGGATTGCACTTTTGTGTATTACTGTATCAAAAATTTTGATTAATTTTCACCATAACGAAAATTTTAATCTCAATCAGAATCGCACGACACAAAAATCCCCTTGGTCTAGATACCTTGTATTATTTTCCTGCAATTATTTTTTGATTTGAATTTTTTCACGCATTTATTGTAAGAGGCGACAAAAATCCCCTTATCTGAGATGAATAATTAGTTTAATGTAACAATATACCTCCTGCCAGAGGTACGCTACTTAACTAGATCATTAGTTGATTGAATTAGTCGGTACATTTTGAGTTAGTATCGGTAACGGGTATTGAGTCAAAGAGTTCTTGAATTTCATTTGTTTATATGACGGAAGTATTGGAGTCCCTGCTTTATCAAAACCAGTTCCATTATATGGTTTGCGATCAATCCAATAAGTGCTTTTCCATACTCGTTTATCTTTGGTCCTTCTTTTTTCGCCCGCTTTTGATAGTATAACCGCACCAATTACCCACTATCGCATTAAACAATTTAACTATAGCATTGAGATCAGGGATTTCCTTAGCCCGAGACTTAAATCCAAAGAGTAATAATGCATCTTGTCGAATTTTAACAATTTTTTCCCGTGTTTGTTCGAACGCTTTTGACACATCATTACCCAAGAGAATTTTCGTATCATCGATATCAGAAAAGCCTAATGATTGGTATAGGTCATGAACTGCCTCCCATTGTTTTGCCGAATAGGATTTACACAAATCATTTGAGGCTGGATCCAAAGAATCTTGCATTGCATAACTTCTTTGATTTTCAGATTTTCTATGGCTTTAATCGTATTAAACCCTTGTCTTCAGAAATAAGCAAGTCTTCTAAAATGTTGTAAAGGTTCAGGACTATTAAAATTTTTTACAAAATCTGTATCACAGAGTTTAGTCCAGTCTGTATGATCCATACCCCAATCTTGAATGTCATCTTTATCTCCAATATCACCCAAAGCATATGTTCTCCATAAATAATATCGTTGCAGAATCATATTATCAGCAAATAAATGTGTAGGAATCTGCTTAAGTAATTCAGCTTCATTGGGACCAATATCTGGAGAATTGGCTATTAATTCTGCATCAGTAACTTCGATTTTTTTTGCAACTCCTTTAATATCATTAGATAGCCAAGTTGGAATTTTCTACTGAAACTAGATCAAGAGATGCTCCAGTACTAGCGATAAGACTGCAAAGAATTTCGAGAAAATATTTGGCTGATAAGCGTCTCTGATATTCAACCTTTATATAAGTTTCTACCGCTTGTGATGAGTCAAGAGCATAACAATCAGCAATTTTGTTCCATTCACGACATCCCTTTATAGCAACTGGTAAGTCTCCAGGTCTTAAGGCTGAAAGTTCTGCGCAAATAAGGTCATGATTTGGATCTTTAAAAATTCCAGGTTTTTTATTATTATAAAGAGAAATAATGCGACATGGTCAATCACGAATTCGACAAAGCATTTGTGCAAAAGCTTCAACATGAACTCCTGTATTGATGTTACTAATTGCTATAATTGCATCAAAATGATTAGGAACTTCAAAGGAGATACCAGCTTCCACAGTGCTTGTATAAATTATGCAATCATGACCACTCCAGGTAGAATTAATATCAGCAAAATCCTCTTGACGTTGTTTTCCATCCATTTGACCAAAATAAACACGTGTCAAGATAGGTGAAACATCTGGTTTTCGTAACTTGTAGGTTGAAGTGTCAAAGCTCGAGCTTTTTTGCATAAAGTCATAGAAAATACAGCACGCTTACCTTCTTGAAGCATCCAAAGTCCTTTACGCATAGCCTCTGATCTTTTGTCTGGGCCATAAAGAATTTTTACAGATTCACCTTTATGTGTCTGATACTTGTTATCAAAAATTTGTATATCTCTACCTTGATATTGTCTTAAAAAGGTTAAAGTCGATTCATTCGCAAAAGCATCCATAGCTACAACATGAACAGCAACTTCAACAAATCACACATAGCATTTTCTGATTCTCGGGCATGGATCCCACTGGACATTTGCATTTGACGCATGATAATGTTCACTTCATGTAAAATAACTACATAAGAACGACCTCCATAAAGAGAAAGACGATGTGTACTTTCGACCTGGACGATGATAATACCCCAGTCTTGTATAGCTAAATCACCTCCATTTTCCTGATAATGGCACACGTGAAGTCCTGAATTTTGTAATATTTCAACTTTAGCTTTGGTCTCATTGCTAAGAGTTTTATGATATGAAATCCAGTTAAAACAAGGTAAATTTGCTTCACTTTTGGCTAAAGAATTAAGAATCTCTCTTAAAGTTTTTGTTTTTTCTGTAGCAACAGGTGAACGAATTATGGTTGTAATGGGTTCCTCACTCAAGAAATCCAGATAAGCTTCTGGTGCAACTTTTCATCTCTTTAACATTAATATTTTTTCCAGATAAATCTACAAGTGGATGTGGATGCTTTACAATATTAACTATTCTTTCACTTAATCCTAAGCACGCTTCTAGAGTTCATGGTGGACAAATCCAATGACACAACGTCTTGATTTACTTTGTAGAATCGCATTGAGACATAAGATAGACTGTTTTGATTCTGGAAAGTATTATACTGAGGGCAATTTCGAGCCTGAATCTCAAATTTCTACGCCTCAGTCAAAGAATAATAATAACGATCTTTCAAAAACAGTGCATTCAGTGCATTATAATCCTTTCGATTCCCAGATCACGGAAATAGATTCAATGTTGGCAGTATTTTTAGAATACCAGTACCAATCCAACGGAATATCTTCTCAAGATGGAAAAAATCTTGCCTAGAAAGTTCGTGAGTCTAATATCATAAGATTTAAATTCGTAATTATCATAATTTTTTTTCTTTGCAAGATATAATTTCCGTTCAAGATGCCTTCAAAAATTTTGCTTATAATTAGCAAGCTCATCATCACTAATAATATGATCGCCTCATATTCATGTAAACAATCTCTAGGGCAAATATACTGTTCAGATGATTTATAGTAACATGAGTGACAATATCCATAGTATAAGAAAGATTCCATGTTTATTGGTAATGTCACCGATTAAATTTGGGAGAGCGTATTTTAAAGGGTGATAACAATTATTTATTAGTTTTATGTGGATCAGATTG